CTGAAGAAGGATCTAGACCCGAAACGTCAGCCTTCCTGCTCCTCTGATGCTGCTTGGCCTGCTGTGTTCATCCGGCTCTACACCTTGTTATCTCAGATTTTACAGCATCTGCAGTTCCTACTATCTCTGATACAAAATTGACCCTTTTGGTTATACCAACCGCTGCTGTTGCAACTTGACTCCTGGTACCTGTTCTTCTGCTTGTAATTTAAAGTGCCTCTTGAGATACTGTTATATAATTACAGCTATGTAAATGCAAATTTAACTTCTTACAATTTGTACAAACATTATCTGATGCACCGTGAATTATAATGCATATTTATTCCAGTTGTTTCTGAAGAGGTGATGAAGAGAGACATTGTGTTCCTTGTCGATGCGTCCGATGATGTCGGAAACACAGATTTTGCTGTTGTCCGTGATTTTCTCACAAGTATAATAGACAACCTCGATGTTGGATATGACAAAGTTCAAGTAGGCCTGATACTATACAGCACATATGCAGACACTGAGTTCTACTTGGACACCTATTTGTCAAAAGCTGATATTCTGACTCATGTGAGAAGACTGAGACTGAAAGGTGGGACCAGACGGAATACTGGTGCAGCCATGGAACATGCCTATAGATACCATTTCATCAACTCTGCTGGAAGTAGGAAAAAAAATGGCGTCGCTCAGTTTTTGGTGCTCATCACTGGTGGAGCATCTAGCGATGATGTCAGTCGAGCTGCTGCTGCGTTGAAGCGAGCTGCTATAATGAGTTTTGCAGTTGGAGTCAAGAATGCAGATTTAGCAGAGCTGAACGACATTGCCATTGATCCCAGCTTAGTCTTCAGAGAAAGTGAATCCCATTCTTTACCGAATATACAAGGAGAGGTGACCACACTATTATCAACTCTGCCAGCGCCGCGGGTAATACCTGAAGAACCAACTGTTGTCGTTGAACCAGGTAATTGATATTTTGTTCTGTTCAAGGCAAAGTGTATAGGATGTTACTTGCTGGTGAAAATACATTCAGCACTAGAAAATCATCCATGATGCTGGTCATGGTATTTCAGAAATTATAAACTTTCATGACATGAAACATGACAGTCAAACTTTGAAAAGGTGGTTATGTTTGGTGCAAAGTCTTGTTTCTTTTTGACACTAAGTGTGGCGTTTCTTCCAGCTGCGTGAGATACTTCCACTTGGGAGCAGACCAGCTTTTCTTATGCAGGTACTTTCTTCTCAGCACAGCTTACTGGATGTCCATGCATGGGTAAAACACAACAATTTATGGACAACAAGGCAGGAAAGTCTGCTCCCCACCCAGTGACAGAGACCAAGCCAAAACTAGAGCCACCGTTCAGCCATGCCTTCTTAAAAGGCGCTCCTGAAGGTTGTTCGGAAGAGAACGGAAGCACTCTTCCCTAGGGATGGCAATGGAAAGTCAACCTAACTGACAAAGGTAGCCTGGGCACTTTTTCTGATCTGTGGCTTAGTGCCCATTTGATTGTCTGTTGTGCACACTCTTCACTCTGTCATATAATGGGCAATTACATTTCCTGTGTTGAAACATGAGCTTTACAGTTGCTTTTCATGTACTGTCCAACCCCTTGTCACTTTTGTCACATGTGCGCCTTCCCCTCCCCTTGTTTACATAGTTTGTCTCTCATACCGTGCAGCCACCTCGTATGGAAATTTTCTTCCTCATTCTTTTTTACCTCCTACCTTCCAACCTTTCTACAAAATCGATCCTTTTGATCATGCCAACTGTCACTGTTGCAAATTTTTGACTCCTGGTACCTGTTCTTCTGCTCACGTGTAGACTTGAGCAAAAGGGTGGAGAGAGCTCTGTCTGATGACACAGCCCCAGTATATGGAGCACACAGTTGCCTCCTTGGGCTGGGTGGTAGTTGCTGTGAACAGCCAGGTTCAGCAGAACATGCAAACATATTAATTAAAGGCAGGAGTAGGCTGCTTCGCCTCTCGAGCGTTTCTTTTTAATTTCACTTGTGGGACACCGGTATCATTGGTGAAATAACTCCAAAGCCTCAATCAGGGAACTCATATTCTATGGGTCTACCTGGCTGACCACCTTATAATCACTATATTCCTCCCCCTCTGAGTCCGTGGACATAGATGGTCCTTTCTCTTTCTCTTGTAGCTCCTCCTCTGGTCTGGTTCCTCCGATTCAACCTTGTATACAAGCGGCATGTACTGGACAGTAACCTGCCCCTTGTGCCCAGAGCATCTTGCAAGAAATCCATCCTCTTCTTCAGGCGGTGAAGGCATCGAGGTTGTGACATCCGCCATTTCTGTCTCAGACTCCGAGGTTTCTTTGATGCTAGACAGAGGGGGAAGAACCCATGGGTTCTGATAGGCTTTCCTGCTATCCTGAGGGATTGTGTGTGTTTTGCTCCTGTCTCGTTTGCAAGGTTGCAGCTTTCATGTGGTCCACATGCTTGGTCAGAACTGCTTCTCTGACCTTAACTTTGTATGTCATGGGACCTGACCTCAAGTCAACCGTGCCCCTTACCCATGCAGGGTCATTTCCGTTTCGGCACAAAACTTTGTTCCCTGAAGTAAACTGTCTCGCTTAACGCCGTCATGTGTTTGGCATTGGCGTTCCTGATGTCTTTTCGCCACTCCCCCCCAACACCTCAGGTTTGGGAAGATCAGGTTTAACCTGGTGCGGAGTCTTCTTCCCATTAGCAACTCTGCCAGTTGCGTAAGGGATGGTCCTGTAATCAAATAGGAACCAGGAGAGTTTGGTATCGAGTGAAGCTGTAGGCTGTTTCTTTAGACTGCCTTCGAAGTTTGGACTGCTCTTTCTGCCAGACCGTTGGATGATAGAAGGTATGGAGCTGTCCTTGTATGCCAAATGCCATTCGACTTTAGGAAATACTCAAATTCCCTGCTGAGAATTGATGGCTCGTTGTCGTGACCAATGGGCCCGTGTATTGCAAAATATGTTTGCAGCTTTTCTATCATCATCCCCGTGTTTGACGATTGAGCTCGATGCACGTCCATTCACTGTGAGTGGGAGTTCACAATGATTTAAAACATTGAGCCATGAAAGGACCTGCATAGTCGACATGTAACTGAATCCAGAGTTTACTCAGCCATTCCCATAAATGTGGGGGACCAGCTGGCAGGAATTTTTGTCCTTGTTGGCACCATGGGCACTGCCCCACCAATGTGGCTATATCTGCATCCAATCCTGGCCACCAGACAAAATGTCTCAGCGCCATCTTCATTTTGGACACCCCCGAATGACTTCGCTAGAGTTCAGCCACTATTTGGCGGTGACCTTTGCTCAGAACAATCACTCTTGCTCCCCGTAATAAAATGTCATTCTCTGTAGTGATCAGGTCTTGCTGGGTCTATAAAGGTTTTAGTTCTGGTTTTGATGGCCCTTTAGTTTCTCCCATCACCACCAGTTGTTTTGGTTTTGCCAAGATCCGATCTTTTTGCATCCACATTCTGATATTGTCAGTGGTGATCGGAAAGGTGTCCAGAAAGATAAAAACTAGAACGGACTCTTCAAATGGCAGCATGACCAGTGGTGTATCCACCAGTCAGAAGTGGCCCAAAGATCTGCATTTACTACGTGGCCTGCTGGACGGTGTTCCAACTTGTAATTGTATGCATTTAGAAATGAGACCCCACCACTGAATTCAACCTGAAGCTATGGGTGGCTGTCTTCTTTAACTAGCTTTAGCAGGCATTTGTTTTGTGTTACTATTGCAAATTTACAACCATAAAGGTATTGATGGAACTTTCTCACACCAAAGATTACCGCTAAACCTTCCTTCTCCTGGGCATATTTGCACTGTACATCTGCCAAAGTCCAAGAAGCATATGCTATTGTGCGTTCCTCTCCATTGGTCCATCTGTGAGCCAACACTACCCCAATACTGTATGGGGAGGCATCGCATGTCAGCACCAAGTCTTGCTTGGGATCATAGTATGCCAACACCTTAGATGATGATAGCTACTTCTTCACTTCCCTAAAGGCTACATCTTGGTTAGGAGACCATTTCCAAGGCTGACCTTTTCTCAATAGCAGATGTAAGGGTGCCAGGATGGAGACCAGGTTACGTAGTAATATACCAATTCATGTAAAGACCTAAGCTCCGGTACATACATGGGAGCCGGGGCACCTTTGATCGCCCTCACTTTATCTTCTAATGGGTGGAACCTGGTCTTATCCACTCTGTAGCCCAAGTAGGTCACTTGGGTTGCCTGGAACACACATTTTTCCCTTCTAAGGCGTACGCCCACCCTGGAGAAATGTCGAAGGACTCTGTCCAAGTGGTCTTCCCTGTTATTAGCATGTCATCCAGATAAATTACAACCTGGGGTCAACATTGTAAAATGTTCTCCATCGTCTGCAGAAAAATGGCACAGGCTGATGATACCCCAAACGACAACCTCATATATTGGTACAAAACCTTATGCATATTAATTGTAGCATACATCTGGGAATTCTCTGCTAACTGCAATCGCAGGTCGCATAGCTCATGTCCAGCTTTGTGAAGGACAGCCCACCCTCCTGCCACCCCCCACCAGCTTTGCATATAAGTTGTCTATGTGAGGGATTGGATATGTATCCAGTTACAAGAAGTGGTTTGCTATTTGTTTAAAATTCCCATAAATGCAAACTGTAATTGGTATGATTGGTGCTGTCCATTCTGCAAACTGCACTGATTTGATGATTCCTTTGCTTTCCAGCCTTCTGATTTCTGCCTCTGCCTTTGCACATAAGACAATTGGCACCAGGTGGGCCTTGCAAAATTGCAGAACTGCTTCCTGGTCAACATGTAAGGTGGACTTGTCTCCTTTGACGGCCCCTAGACCTTTCTGAAAAATTTCCGGGTATTTGATTCGGACTTCACTCAGGCAGCCATTTTTCTAATCGCAAAATGTTGAGCCAATCCGGGTGGATCTTTCTCAACCAATTTCACCCCATCAGTCTTGGGCCTGAGTGTTTTTCTACAATCAGTGGTAACCAAACCAGCTGCTTCTCATGTGAGACATGAGCCAAAGTTCATAGATCATAGAATCCCTACAGTGTGGAAACAGGCCCTTTGGCCCAACAAGTTCACACCGATGCTCAGAGCATCCCACCCAGACCATCCTCCTAATTTACACAACCCTGAACACTACGGGCAATTTAGCATGGCCAATCCACCTAACCTGCACATCTTTGGACTGTGGGAGGAAACTGGAGCACCCAGAGGAAACCCATGCAGACACAGGGAGAATGTGCAAATTCCACACAGACGGTTGCCTGAGGGTGGAATTGAACCCAGGTCCCTGGTGCTATGAGGCAGCAGTGCTAACCACTGAGCCACCATGCCGCCCTTAAATTGTAGCCTTAATCTGTAATGATTCCCCGGTATAGGTTCTCAGTCTAGCTGAGATCTTATGTAAACTTAAGGATTGGAGTCCAAAGTGAATCTTGTTAAAGATTGATTCTGCAATCACTGATATATTCTCGCCGGTATCGACCTTCATTAGAGCTGGGCAACCAGTTAACCAGACATTTGTTTTGATTGGCTTTGACTTGGATGTTGCTAAGCAATTTAACTGTTCCAAGCCAGATGTAGGTGGGCTTTCCAGGGTGTCACTCTCCTGGATACCTGTCTATGAGCTCTCTTACTCAGTTCAGGCCCAGTGAGACTCTTGTGCTGTCTCAAGTCTACATACTGGCAACAACTACATTGGCTTGCCGGCCCAGATCCTGAAGAAAATATTAACTGTTTGGTCAAGGCTTAGCTTTGTTTTTGGCTTTTATTGTGGGCTGACGTAGAGTCCCTCTGTTCAGGCGATGTCCTGAGTAGGGCTATGCAATTGCCTTCACTCAAATGGTGTCCCCCAAGCTCGGTTAGTCTGGAGAGGGTGTCCACTTTCAACAGCATATCTTGTAACTCATCTGCTCCACTTGCCATATTTTCCAATGACAAAGCCAGTTTTGGTGCCTGTATGAATTCCAGTTGGGCTTCAGCTTGTAGGCGCTTTTGCATCATTACATCATTAATCCCACATACTAAAACGGTCTCTTTGCTACTCATTAAGGGTTAAACCAAAGTCACATGCATTTGCCAGTCATCTTAAACTGGCCAAAATCTCCCAACACAGATCCCCCGGTTCTCGAACTGCTGAGTAAAACTCATAATGTCTCAGAATTAGGGGAGGCTTGATGTCACAATATTCCTTAAGTAAATCCATCAACTCTTGAAGGGTTTTTGTATCTGGTGCCTCAGGGAACGCTAGGCTCCTAATAACCAAAAAAGGCTGCAGGCCCACAAGCTGTCAGGAAAATCACTCATTGCTTCTCATCTACCCCAATGTCTTTTGCCCGGAAAAAAGTAACGCATTCTTTCCTCATACTGGGCTCAGTCTCTGACAGCAAGATTGAATGAGTTAAGCTTCCCAAATAACAGCATGATGTCAGAAGTCCTTACTCCAACTGAAAGATGGCTGTTGCAAGCTTTTGAGCTTTTGCGAGCTTTCCTGCTCCTCTGATGCTGCCTGGCCTGTTGTGTTCCTCCAGCTCTATACTGTATTAGATCTGAGCACCACTTTTGTACAGTCCATGGCCCCTTGTACCTGAAGGAACACATCTATGGCTACACATCCAATGGCTTTGACACTTTGACTCTCTGGGTTCATGATGAACTCGACAAAGTGAATCCCTTTCCTGAAAAGGGAATCTGTGAACTCACAAACTCATTGAGTACATTTAAGACTGAGATAGATAGGTTGTTGATTATCAAGGGGATCAAGGGTTACCAGGAGAAAGCAGGAGAATGGGGTTGAGGAACTTATCAGCCATGATTGAATGGTGGAGCAGACTCAATGGGCCGAATGGCCTAATTTCTGCTCCTATTTCTTATGGTCTTATACGAATGTGGGAGGCCAATTGGGCAAAGTCCCACATATCCCCATTTGAGGTTAAAAAGTAGCAGTTGGCTTGGACTTTTAAGGCTGGAACTTCAGCGCCAAGTCCCAAGTCACATTGCTGCAGGACTGTTATTAGGAGATGGCAGATGGAAGTGATGTTATCTCTCGTCACACAGATATACCTCCAGCACTGCCTTTCATTCATCTGCAGGTACAACATTCCTTTATAAACTGTTGGATAGCACTGAAGACCCTGATTCTTCTCTTCACCTGCTGCTTGAGTGTCTGCAGCTTTAACCACTGAGCGTCATGCCACTGCCTTTACTCAGGTTGTTTGTCCCTTCTTCTCCTTCTTCTTTTGATCTTAGTAAAGATAATAGAGCTGCTGAGTTGAGTGGTCAAATGTCTGGCATGGGAGTACTGAGCTAAAATGTAAATTTTCCATGTGATCTTGACAGAGTCAATCTATCCTTTCAGCCCTTAGCAGACTGGTCATGTCTGGGTGACAACCTGCCCTACAGCCACCTCTACACAGCGAGGTAGAATCTTCATAACTCACAACTGCTTTACCCCTTCTCAATGTTGTCAAATGGAGGAAATTTGTAGCTTTGATCTTTACTTTGCTTCCTATGTATGTGGCAATTAGCTCAATCCAACTCCCCTAGCCTTCAATATCTCCGTGATGCAGTCGTACAACATATAACCTGCACAATGGTGTCATCCCCATGTCCTTAGCTTCCAATATGTACAGGCCTGTGAATTTTCCCTAATGGCTGAATAACTACCCCCAGCACCACCATCACTGCTAGTGCCATTCCTGTCAAGGGTTAATGAATGATGGAACATGGTTGGAATGCTGGAGTTTGGGGCTCTAAGAGTTTTATTTTTTTTTTATTTTGCAGTCAACATGTCCTGTCAGAGCAAAGTCCTTAACTGAGTGCTCGTGCAATAGTATTTTTATGTTTCTATTTCCATTCCCTCAGGTGGTTGAGCGGAAATACTTGCAAACAGATCTGGGGCCCCTTCCATTTGCACTGTACATTCTCGATGAAGCTTCCTTTTGTAAACCAATTTAGAGAAAAGATAGAGATTTGGAGAAAAGTTGTAAATTTCTCCCTTGTGTCATCCACTCTTTAGCCTCCCTCTCTCGAGTACAATTTACTCTCATAACTAGACAGCCTTTCCTCTGGCATCCCCCCTGCCTTTCAATCTCTCCCTGTGACTACTGGCTGTATCATTATCTCCCTTGACGTTCTTACTCTTCCACCGATTCCACTCCCATCTGGATCCCCTATGCTCAGCTTTACCCATACGCTGCCCCATATCCTATTCACCTGCTTGTTCTCCCGCCTCAGCCTCAATTAACTGCCCCATTGTGTTCTTCGGCTTTAACATGAATCTTCAACCCTTTCGGTCCTCCTGACATTATCCACTGTGATTTTGCCCTCTACATCTCAGTTTGCTTCCACCATTTGCCAGGATCCTTCTGGCACGCATGCCCGCCCACCCCCCCCCCCCACCCCCCCCCCCCCCCAACCGCCAAATGTACACACTTTAAGTTGAATTCCCTCCTTTGGTCTTCTACCCAGCCCACGTTCTGCAAACCTTTCTTTCTGTTGAACTCCTGTTTCATTTCAGACCATTTTTCAGTTAAGCTCTGCTTACCTGTCCCGGCTACTATCCAGCAGTGTAGCTGTCTCACTTGGCCAGACCCTGTCACCCTTCAGCTTTTACACTATTTGCATTTAAATACAAAAGGCAAGCCCACAGAGGACTGAGGCTTTTCAACTGCTGGTTGACAAAGCGCTGTTTCAAGCCTTACACTGTAGGCTTTTGCACCAAGCTTTAGCTTGGTTTGGAAGGAGACATCAGAGTATGGAGCTGGATAAACACAGCAGGCCAGGCAGCATCAGAGGAGCAGGAAAGTTGACATTTTGGGTCAGGACCCTTCTTCAGGATGTCAACTTTCCTGCTCCTCTGATGCTGCCTGGCCTGCTGTGTTCCTCCAGCTCCACATTGTGTTGTCTCTGACTCCAGCATCTGCAGTTCTTGCTATCTCTTGGTTCCGAAGGAGCCAAGTTAGTGGAGAAGTTTGTACTCAATGGAGCTTGGGGAAAGAAATCCACCTTATCACGTACACACCTCATGTAGAGACTCAGGTTTGTGAACGCATAGGTTTCCTGCTTTCAAGGTTTCACTTGTGTATGTAATTCCAGCAGGCTGCAGCATTAAAGAATATTCGTGGTATGCTAATAAACTCAAATATGGTTTCTGACCGTAGAGGTTGAGAAGACCAACCTGCCTGAAAAGTTGATTGCAACAAGTTTAAGCTGCTTTTGGGAAGCTGAGTTTTTGCCTCCTGTCCAATTTGATTGCCCACTTGCCTGTGTAAAAGGTCTGGGTTTCACATGAGAAAACATTACCAAGATTAAATGTGGTGGTTGCAGGAAGAATGTACACTGTTGTTGGAAAACTTTTAGTATGTTACTAGAACAAACCTTAACATTTTATGATTGATTCCTGGGTGTGTACCTTTGTAGCTGTAAACAAAAAAAAGACAGTCGATATTTTGATTTCAAATTTCAACTTAAAACTGCATTTACTCTTTCTGTCACTTTGACTCTTTTATCTCTGAGTAATTGACAGCTGTACGTGATTAATATGTTACCATTTTTGAACATCAATAAAATATCCATGATGATTAAAAGTTTCCATTTGATTAAAATTTGAAAGGGCCAATTTTGACTTTAGACAACGTTGTGAATTGTGTGACATTGGCTTGGTCACCCTTGCAACTTTCAAAGTAACAATTTCCTACAAATAATGTTGCAAAACAACTGAGCAGAAACTGTTGGAAACTTAAAAAAATCCAGAAAGTTGGCTTCAGTCACAGATAAATTATTTATGTTACATATGCATCCACAGCATTTCCTTTGGGATGTAAGAAAACGTGCAGGCCATTCAGACCCTCTGGTCTTTTCTGCTATTCAATTAAATCATGCCTTACTTCTGTCATAGCTCTATCTACACTTGTCTAACAAAATTTTGGTGATCACAGCGTTGAACTTTTCATTGACTGCCAAACTCCTCAGCGTCAGTCTCAGCAGGTTTTTTGTGTGGGTGAGTTCTTGACTTCCACTGCGCTCGTGTGAACACATTCTTTTCTGACATCACTTTGGATTGACCTAGTTGTAATGCCCCTTCGTTATGGACTCTCCTATCAATTCATTTCACTATTGTAACAATCCCAGTTAGATTTTCCCTTAATTTTCTATACAGAGAATTGCTGTAATGTATACAATTTTTCCTAATTTTGTACATTTTACAAGAAATTATGCTATTTCTTCCAGTTATACCAGATGGAGGAAGCAAGAGAGACATTATGTTCCTTGTCGATACATCAGACAATGTTGGAAGGGCAAATTTTCCTTCAGTCCGTGACTTTCTCTCAAGTATCATGGAAAACCTCGATATTGGAAGCGACAGGGTGAGGATTGGTCTGGTACAGTACAGTAATTATGCAGAAACGGAATTCTATCTGAACACGTATTCTTCTGAAGATGAAGTTCTAACGCATGTGAAAGGGCTAAAGCTAAGAGGTGGAAGGAACATTAATACTGGTGCAGCACTGGACTTTGTCCTCCGCTATCATTTTACTAGATTTGGAGGAAGTAGGAAAGATGAAGGTGTTCCTCAAGTATTGGTACTCATCACTAGTGGAAGCTCTGGAGATGATGTTAAAACACCAGCAGACAAAATGAAGCAAGATGCTATGATAATCTTTGCCATAGGAGCCAAGAATGCTAACCCAGCCCAGATAAAAGAAATTGCAAGTGACCCAGGTCTGGTCTTCAATGTACAGGAACTTCATTCCCTACCAAACATAAAGGAACAAGTGACATCCTCATTATTGACATTGGCTGCTCCACCAGTAACTCATTACAAGTCAAAAGTGATGGCTGAAAGAGTAACCCATACCATTCCAGAAGGTAAAAGAATTTTGTTCTCTACTTTGTTTCAATCTTAATCACAGAATATTCATTCTTAGCAAGGGAAGAACTAATATGTCTATCAGCAGAGTAGGTGAGAAATTCCAGATCATGCCCTGAATTAAAGCCCTTGCAATTTCCACCCATTTTCAGAACAATTCAAAGAAAATAAACCAATTCATGTCACGTCTTAAACCTGTCTACATGATCAGTTCAGAGGAAGAATCAAATAGATATCTTTGACTGGATTATGTTCTGTTTGTGTGGTAGATGAGATAGACAATGTCTTGGTTAACTCAATATAATATTTATTTACATGCCAGCTTAGTGATGCTCAACTACCACCCCCCCCAACCCCCACAGCTGACAGCTGTTTGCCAGATAGTATAATGTATAGCTACAGAACTGAGAAAGGCCATTCTGCCCATTAAGTCCACTTTAGGTGTCTGTAAGAGCAATTCTGCTAGTCTCATTTCCTATCCTTTTCACTGTAACTCCAAACTTTCCTTTTTAATCCTCCGGTACTTATCCAATTCGCTTTTGAAAGTTACAATTAAATATGCCTCTACAATAATCTCAGGCAGTGTGAACTCTAATCACTCATTGCATTAAACAACAACATTTTCTGATGTCACTTTTGGTGCTTTTGCCACTCACCTTCACCCATGTGCGCTGGTACTTGATCTTTTAGCTCCCATGAACATATTCTGTCTATCTCCTTTGTCCAGACTCCTCATGTTTCGGAATACTTCCATCAAATTTCATCTCTTTCCTTTTCTTTTCTAAGGAGAATGACAACAGTTTCACTTATCAATCCATGGAACTGAAGAGCTTTCAGCATGAAAGTGTCCATGTAAATATTTTCTGCACCTTTCTAAAGCCTGTACATTGCTTCCAAAAGCATAGTCTGAGAATTGGACACAATACTCCAGTTGACGTTGGAAAATTATTTCATAGAGACTTATCATGACTTCTTTACTTTTGTACTCAGTGTCTCTATAAACCCTATGATACCATGTACCTTTTTAACCAGTTTCTCAACTGTCACATCAGCTATAATGATCAGCGCACATTTATTTGTGAGTCTCTCTTCCTGCAGCCTCTTTAGAATTGTATCCATTCATTTATTTTTCCTACCAAAGTGTGCCACTTCATATTTCTCTGCATTAATGTGTATTTGTCATGTGTCTACCCATTCCACCAGCCTGTATATAATCTCTTGAATTCTACCACTAACCTTCTCGCAATTAACAAATTTTATAAATTCTCTGTCATCTGTAAAGTTTGAAATTGAACACAAAAATCATTTGCACTGACCTCTGGGTAATCTTCCTTCAGTATGAAAAGAAAACTATTCACGCCAATGTTCTGTTTTCTATGTCCATGCTGCCACTATCTCTTTTATTCCAACAAAAACAGAAGTTGCTGGAAAAGCTCAGCAGGTCTGGCAGCATTTGTGAACAGAAATCAGAGTCAACGTTTCGGGTCTGGTGACCCTTCCTCAGAACTGATGGTAGCTGGAAAAACATTGGTTTATATGCAGAGAAAAGGGAGGGCGATGGGGTAGGGAGTAATCGATAGGATAGAGCCCGAAGAGAGAGAAGTGCAGTTGGATAGACAAAGCAGTTGATAACGATCCGGCTGGGAGGGTGAATCGTTGTTAATGGGGATTGTTAGTGACTAAGAATAGTTAGTGTGTAATGGCAGGCTCTGTGATAACAAGGCCTGTTATGTGGGGTAGGGGGCTAGGACATGGAAGAGTTTAGGCCCGAAAATTATTGAACTCGACATTGAGTCTGGAGGGCTGTAGGGAAGAGGGTAGTGCATTAAAGTACACACGACCTATTGTTAGTCACTAACAGTCCCTATTAACAACGATTCACCCTCCCAGCCAGATCAACTTCTTCGTCTGTCCTTGTTCTTCTTTGTCTTTGGGCTCTAGCCTATTGTTTACTCCCTACCCCACCACCCCTCCCTATTTTCCACATATAAACCGACATTTTCCTGCTACCATCAGTTCTGAGGAAGGGTCACTGGACCTGAAACATTAACTCTGATTTTTTTCTTCACAGATGCTGCCAGACCTGCTGAGCTTTTCCAGCAACTTCTGTTTTTGTTTCTGATTTACAGCATCCACAGTTCTTTCGGTTGACATCCCTTTTATTCCAGTGGCTTCAACTTTGCTGACAAGTCTATTACGTACTATCAAAAGTCTTTTAGAAGTTAATATGTAACACATAAATCGCATTACCCTCATCAATCATGTTAATTTCTCAAAAATTCAATGAAGTTAGTTAAACGTGTTGTTTCGATTGAGCTAAGTGAATCTCATTATAACTGTTGGACTGTACAAATAGAGCAACTTGTGACTTGTCATTCTAAATGCTTTGCTTGACAGCCTATCGAGGAGGTCATGAAACAACTACTTGAAAGAAACAATCATTCCCTTTTATATCGTATGTACATGGTATTGTTCTACCTCAGGGTTACTCTATAATTGATGTTGGTAAATGTGGCACGTGCTTAAATTAAGGAGCAGTATTTTCCAAGGATTGGTAATCACATGCCGATTGCCACCCCTCTCCTTGTATTTTTTATCCGTACTGAAAGAACTCTGTATTTCTGACAGGAGTTTCCAATCATACTCATAGGTTCAGAGAAATATACAGCACAGAAAAAGGTCCTTTGGCCCAACCTGTCCATGTCTGTCAAAAACAAACACCTAACTATTCCAATCTCATTTTCCAACACTTGGCACATAGCCTTGCATGCCTTAGCATTCAGTGCACATCTAAATACCTGTAAAATGTCAGGAGAGTTTTTGCCTCTTCCACCCTAATAGGCAGTGAGTTCCATGTTCCCTTATCCTGCATGAAAAAAAAGAAGTTTCCTCTCATCCCCTCTAAACCATCTGCCCTTATCTTAAATGCATGCCTCCTGGTCATTGAATCCCACCATCAAGGGAAAAGTTTCTTCCGGTCTACCTAATCTATCTATATATTTCACTCTGTCCTCTCTCAATCTCCTCTGCTCTAAGGAAAACAACCCCAGACTGTCCAATCTCTCTTCATAACTGAAACTCTCCAGCCCAGGCAACATCCTGGTAAATCTCTTGTTCTGAATGATCACTGGATTTGAAGCATTCACTTTTCTTTCTCTCCACAGAGGCGGCCAGACCTGCTGAATTTCTCCAGGAATTTCTGTTTTCATTTGAGATTTCCAGCATCCATAGTTCTTTATTTTATTTTTTGATTAAGGTAGCAACGAGCATAAATGTAAATGACAGAACTCCTGTCAATGGGAAAGTAGATTGTCCTGTGAAAATAGCATTTGAAAGGACAGAATACTTCATTAGTTAAATCTTAAGCAAGGTAGAGGCTCCTATTCCTCACAACCTGCACATAGATTATCTGAAGTAAAACTTTGGCCACAACCTTTGTTTCTGAAGACTCATGCAAAAATAAATTGAATTTATCAATAATTTTAGTTTCTTTTGCAATTGTAATAACAGAATTCAAACATTGGTTTTGATCTATTTTGCTAATGTATTTCAATCCTTTTCTCTCTCTCTCACTTGTTCTCTCTAAATATTAATTGTAGAGACATACAACTGGAATCTTGCATTTAAATCCATTTTACCATTGCCTGACTTTTGATTCTGTTGACTGTTGTCTTGTACTTTCCCCCCGACGGCAAAAGCCTTGAAACCAGTACAATAATCCTCTACTTTATTCCATATCTCTGTCCAGATCTAATTCTGATAATTTTCCTTGGTTTGTATTTTTTCTAGTTACATCTGAAGCTGAAATCAAGAGAGATATTGTGTTTCTGATTGATGAATCAGATAATATCGGGAATTCAAACGCACCACATGTGCGTGATTTTATCACAAGAATAATTGAGAACCTGGACATTGGAAGTGACAGAGTGCGTGTTGGGTTGGTACTGTACAGTGACGCTCCTGAAACTAAGTTTTATCTTAACACCTACTCAAGAAAGGATGAACTTCTGTCTCTCCTGAGACCACTCAGATTTAAAGGTGGCGTGACAGCCAATACTGGCAAAGCACTGGACTTTGTCTTCAAACACCACTTTACCAAGTCTTTAGGCAGCAGGAAAGATGAAGGTGTTCCTCAGTTTTTAGTGTTGATCACTGGTGGGAGGTCTGGAGATGATATCAAAGCGTCTGCAGATGCATTGAAACGAGCCGCTATCATGACCTTTGCCATTGGAGCCAGAAATACTGACACAGCGCAACTAAAAGAAATAGCATTTGAACCCAATTTGGTCTACAATTTGAGGGATTTCTATTCACTATCAGACATACAAGAAAAGGTATTGCCCCAAATACAAAGACTGCGTGTTCCAGAAATAATTATCGATGAGCCAAAATTAGACAACAGAGAACCTACTGTTGCACCTACAGAAGGTACCTGAACTAAAATTTTATTTTGTTAGGTACTTGTTATATTACTTTTAAGATTGATATGTTCATAGACTTACATCAGAAGTCTTTAATATCACCGATGCATCCCTATAGGTCTGAATGCAATGTTTATATTTCTCAGCCTGGTCCAAAAACAGGGATTGAATAAGGCAACCTTTGAGATGGGAGTGGAAGGCTGAGCATATTGTGGGAAATAAAAGCTGAGGAAATATCAACAGATGTTATGAAAATTAATACATATATCTCTTCCGTGTTATATGTCTGTTAGTACAGAGCTTGTGGAAATTGGAGCAGGAAAATTGTCACCATTTCTGAAATTCTGGAAATATTTTTCTCCAACTAATCAGAAACCTTAGACATGAGACCAGTCACAAAGTTTAAACATTACCCTCTGCACAGGTACTCTCTGGAAATACAAAGGGTGCTCTTACTCTTCAGAAGAAAGTCTCCCATAGGTCTGCTATGTGAATTAAGGATGAGACTTGGCATAATTTTGTAGATGGTAGGAAACTGGAGTCAGAGGGGGATAAGGGGTAAGTTTCAGGTAAGATTCAGTCCCATCCAGACAGAGGAATCTGGTGAACAAGAAAAATGAATTACTAAGACTATTAAAGGGAAAGACGTAAGTTCCTACTGATACTCCCCTCAATCTGTTTCTTATTGGACATGAGTGAATCGTATAAAACTGCTTTCAGTGAAGTACTGGTTCAAAATGCACATAATGGTCATAAAGTCAGGGGTGGCGATTGGGACCTGTTGCCCACACAATATTCTTCCATATCATAGAATCCCCAGAGTGTGGAAAGAAGCCATTCAGCCGATCAATTCTGCACCAATCTTCCAAAGAGCATCCTACCCAGACACAGCCCCCCACCCCACTCCACCCTATCCCTGTAACTGTGCCTTAACCATGGCTAATCCACCTAACCTGAACATCCCTGGACACTACAGGGAAATTGTATCATGGCCAATTCACCTAACCTGCACATCTTTGAGAGAAAGCCAGAGCACCCTGTAGAAACCCATTCAAACATGAAGAGAACATTTAAACTCCACACAAACAATCACTGGAATTGAACCCAGGTCCCTAGTGTCATGAGGTGGCAGTGATAACCATTGAGACACCATGCTGCCTGCAAATCAAATCACATAAGAAAGTCCATTTAAATTGCACCTTGATACGCAGTCCGGGAATCGATGTAAATCTGCATAGTATTGCTTGCGGTGGTGCTATATGAAGAATTAGATATATATATATATATTATTCCCATTTCTTAGCACTTCTTTTTCCCCTCCCCATTCTGTGGCTGTTTCTTGCTGATTGTAGCTAATATTTTGTTAAATTTTGCAGTTAGATCACAAATCGATTAAGGCAAGTTGAGTGATTCAATATTTAATTTTACTCAGGTATCTGCAGATATTCCATGATGGTGATTTGATTGGATGCAGGCTAAGCATCAGGCTCTTGTTACTGTAACACAGCTAACATTGGGATTAAGCAGTCAGATAAAGTGTAATAGAATCAAAGGTTTTGGCACTCTATGAATGTATGTGGAGATTTCTAATATCTAGTTTGAATTCTCATCCACTTACAAGGTTATACTGTGAGGGCTTGGTGAAAACGTAGGTGTCTCTTGATTTTCCAGTTCCACCATTTTCTTCCTATTTATTGGATTGCTAAAGCATCATTGACTGTCTGTCATTTCCCCTGATATTGCCTTTTAAGAGGCCACTGATCAAGGATGCTAAAAGGCAAATCTATTCTTGCCCTATTTTGACTAATAACAAAATTTTAACCATTGTTGGCATGATTGTCTATTGCAAGTAAATTTCTGCTTGCCGTCTTCCTTCAATTCAGCAATTTCTGTTTTTTTTAAAATTTGCTAAAAGTTTTAAAAAATTTCTACCATACCATCTTAATTTCAGCGATAATGATTTTGATCAAAAACAGTGTTCGAAATGACACTTCGTCTAGAGAAATGCTATACACTTCTGGTGTAATTATTCAAGTGAGCTGAAACTTTAAAAAGAAATTCAAATCTAATGTGGCAAAAGTAGGGAAGAATTTCATTTCCCATGGTCTTAATCTTGCATCTTAATGAACAAAAATTTAACAGGAAAAGACAAAACAAATTCTACCATTTCAAATAATATCCTTAAGATGTGTTGATCCAATTTTGTTGGACTCAAATGGGGTAGTTCTGGACAGGAAATGTTAATGCTTCTTTAATGACAGAACAAAAGCATAACCAAAATTGGACCACAGTGACAATAGCAAACTGAAATTTGAAATCTTCCCTTCAGATTATCATAATGATCCTAATTATATTCCCCAAATCAGAAATTTATTTTCCATGAATTATTTTAATATGTTGATGTTGTATATTAATGTTCAGTTCCTGCAGTCAGAAAGAGAGATATCGTCTTCCTAATTGCTGGCTCTTCTGAGATGGGAAGATCATTTCTTCAAGTCCGAGATTTTCTGAAGAAAATAATCCAGGAACTCGATATTGGACCCGACAGAGATCAAGTTGCTGTGGTACAGTACAGTTCTGACCCAAAACTTGAATTTGGCCTCAACACTCATTTAACTAGAGATGCAGTTTCAGATGCAATTAAAAAGCTGAGATTGAAACCAGGGAGACCCCTCAACACTGGTGTTGCACTGGACTATGTCACAAGGAATGTCTTCAGTCCATCCGCAGGGAGCAGAGGAGATGCTGGAGCTTCACAAATCCTGGTGCTCATCACTGCTGGGAAATCCAGAGACGATGTTGGACAGGCAGCAGATACAATTAAACAGGCTGGTATCGTGCCCATTGTTATTGGAGCCAAGAATGCAGATGCAACGGAACTACAACAGATAGTGTCTAATTCCGACTCTGTTTTGAAACTGGGAGACTTCCATGAATTGACAACTATTCAACAAGAGTTATTGTCTAAAGTTAGAGCAGTGTCTGTGATTGAGGAACCAACAGTTCCCGCTGAAGGTAAACTGCTTAGTGACTTAATGTATGTTAAAAAACACAAACTGAATGGGATTGATTAATTTGAAAGAGGTAAGCAAGATTGCAGATTTAAAATTTGCAAGGATGTTCTACACAACAAATTCCTTAAGTAAATTATTTGCAAAGAATTTTAATGCAGGGGCATATGATCCAAATTAGTAGTTCTTACTCATACCACTAACAAATCAGAGGCCTTGAAACTATGTCCCTTGAGTATTGGTGATGATGCACTCATCAGGACAGATGCAAGAATGAGTAAAATTTCAATAGAAGTAACAATTGATACTGCACACAGAAAATACTGCTGATTTGTTTGCAAGCCGACTATGATTGGCTAAGTGTTGCTGTGGAGAATTCATCAAAGAAATATTGCCCTGATACTTTTGCTAATTCAAAAAGATGCTTAGTCATCTTTCTTTGTCCTGCAAGGGACAGGTCCCTGACTATCGATACATCTAGCTTTTAACAAATGTTAAGTAAGCCACATTGCAAGTCTGACTGATAATTTTAAATATATTATTCGTGTAATCCTTGGTGTACCTAGGATTTCTCAGCAAGTGTTGCCTAATCAAATTTAACATTAAAACCTATGTCAAACGTTCATTGGTGCTCGGTAATGCCTTGACCAATCATTGTCTATTTACCAACTAATGAACACGTTTTCTGTGTTTCCCATACAACATAAATAGTTGTTTCTTTTAAACATTTGCCTTCTCATGTCAGCCCATATGAGTGCAGAATGAACAACATCAACAGCTTTGGCAATACTCAAGTTCTGTATACTAAATAACTCTTTCACGTGTGTTGGTGACACATTAGCATCCTCAGTAAGTGTAGATTTAGATGGAATAATGTGAACATGTGAAAAATAGAACGGATCTTGTAGTTTTTTTTTTCCAGCCCAACATATGTTTCAACACCCAGACTGATAATTTTTAAAATCTTCTTGCTACCATTGCCAGCCCGTGACTTATTATTTTCTTTGAGAAAGAGTGCATACTGCAGTAGATGCTAGCAAGTAGTGTGGGAGCTTTATCACAAGATTCTGGAATAAGGCAACAGATCAATGAGTTTTTTCTGTCAATTTTAAAACAGCTTTAGGAAAAGGAGGCAGATTAGCTCAAGGTGGTTACAAGTCAAATTCTGAACAGAAAAGCATATCTGAAGATAACATACAATGAATTGCTAATACATAAACAATTCTTTTACATTTAATGCCAGGAACTCAAAGATTAGAGTCCTACATCTGCATTTTAACAGTCTTCATCAATCAAACTGTTTGCAAAGAGTACCACAATGAGGTTTAATGCACTGTTGTCCCTGTCCAAGGAAACCTCAGATAGTACTGCTATGAGCTCTTGCATGTAGGGGTTTGATTAGTAACTTGACTAAATTGATGTGGTTAGATGATGAAGGGTGGAAGAAGGCTTGTGTGGAGTGATCCCTGTCTATTGGGCTGAATGATCTGTTTCTGGGTTGTAAATACATTGTAAAACTTTCTAAATCATATATGTGGTCTATCTCCTGATACTCTAATTAATATATTTCCTCACCAAATCCTTTACAATCTCTTTTGTGTTTGCCAGCACTTTCATATTTTGTATTGTTACAAGTCTCTATAATGTACTTTCAAAGACCAAGTCCAAATCGTCCAGACAACAAAAGTTAACCTCACACTGATGCCTGACTTATTTAACACAAATCTCAGCAACAACCAGCAAATATAATCTTTTACTTCTTGTCCATCAACAAATACTGTCTTATGTTGCCCCTCATTTTTTGTTCAACTTATTGCACCATTTCTATTGCTTTATCATTATAACTAGCCCTGCATCACATTCGTAATATAGAATTAGAGTTAGGTTTATTGTCACAAGTACTCACGAGTGCAGTGAAAAGTTTACAAAGTCGCCACTTACAGTGCTATCTTGGGTACAGAGATACCTAGGTACAGGATCTTAGGAATAAGTTAGAAAAATAAAGAAATAATAAGTTCAGCATTACAGTCCTTTGCACCATCTTAGATAGAAGGTACCGAGGTACAAAATCTTAGAAACAAATTAGGAAAAAATATTTAATATGTTCAGCATTATAATCTTCAAACAGACCGTATGATCACTGTGCGTGATTAAACACATATGATGAAATATTCACAAAGATTGTGTTTAATTAGATATTCTAAAATGTTCTCTTACCCAACATTTAATTAAAACTAACCACATTGTTGTCACAATCTCTCCATTGTTCTTCTGTATTCACAGAGTTCATTTCCCAGAATTAAACAAAAATTGTTTCTTTACTTGCTCAATTTTTTTTAAAAAAATGACCTGGGAGGCAGTTTTAGATTCATATAAAAAATTCCTCAATTTTAAACATATTCCAGTTGCTGTCATAAAATGTCCCACAGTGCTTCGCAGAATAAGTACCAAACAAAGTTTGATGCCAAGTCATGTAAGGAAATATTAGCACAAATATTAAAAAAAGCTTTTCGATCAAGGAGGTAGGATTTCAGTAGTATTTTGAAGGGCGAGAAAGAGTGTGCAAGAGTCAAATATGTTTATGGAACTAATTATAGACCTTAGGTCCTAGACAGCTGAAGACAGCCAATAATACTGAGACAAGGAAACTAGGTATGAGTGAAAAAAAAATCCTCCTCATCTCAATACTGAAAGGCTGCTGTTGTATTCTGTGATACACCCACTGATTTTCCACTCCTTAGCCAGGGAAAATATCCTTCCTGCATCACACCCTGTTTGGCCCTGTCAGAAGGAACACAGCAGGCTAGGAACCACCAGAGGAGCAGGAAAGTCAAAGTTTTGGGTTTACACCCTTCATCTAGTCATGATGAAGGGTGTAAACCCAAAATGTTGATGTTCCTGCTCACCTGATGCTGCCTGACCTGCTGTGTTCCTCCAGCTCCTCACTGTATTGACTCTAACTCTAGCATCTTCAGTTCTTGCCTTCTCCCAGCCCTGTAAGAAGTTTTATGTTTCAATGAGATCCCTCTCATTCTTCTAAACTATTGATAATATTTTTAAAAAAAAAGCTTTTTAACCACTGTTGATTGTTGTAACAACCCATCTGGTTCACTATATCCTTTAGGGAAGGAAATTTGCCATCCTTACCAGGGCTGGCCCACATGTGACTCCAGATCTACAGCAATGTGTTGACTCTTAATTGCCCTCCAGGCAATTAGGGATGGCCAATGAATGCTGGCCTAGCTGGTGGCACTTACATCCCATGAATGAATAGTAGAAAAACTCACTTATAGGACAATCCTTCTATCTCAGAAATCAATCTGGTGAACCTTTATTGCATACCCTCAAAGGGAAAGAAATACTAAAACTGTACAAAATATTCCACTTGTGGTTACACCAAGGCTTTACACAATTGTATTAAGACATCTTTATTCCTGTAGTCAGCTCCTCTTGCAATATTAGCCAACATACTATTTGCATTCCTAATTTCTTGCCGCATCAACATGTTGGCTTTCGCTGACTTATGAACAAGGGTATCCAGGTCTCTTCAGACATTAACACTTCCCAAACTCTCACCATTTAATAAATACTCTGCATTTCTGTTTTTCTACTAAAAAAGGATAACTTCACATTTTTCCACATTATCCTATATCTACCTTGTTCATTCCCATTTACATAGTCTGGCTTAACCTGCCTGAAGCCTCTACTTTCTCCACACAACTCATTTTCCTACCCAGTGTTGTGTCATCAGAAAACTTGGAAATATTAAATTTTATCCGACATGCAAAACATTGATGCAGATTGTGAATAGCTGGGGGCTGAAATACTGCTCTGCTCCTATTATCTATGTTTTGATGTCTACTGATCCACTGGTCATAGCCTATCAGCCTGAGAATGGCGCATTTATTCCTACACTCTGTTTTCTGGCTATAAATCCATGCGGTATACTACCCCCAATCCCCTGTCTTCTAATTCTGGTTGATAACTTGCTCTGTAAAACTCTTTAAGCACCTTCTGAAAATCCAAATACACTGCATCTACTGGTTACCCCCTTTTCTGTTCTGCCCGTTACTCCTTCAAAATCTCTAACAGGTTTGTCAAACCTGTTATTTCTGTTTTATAAACCCATTTTGATTTTTTTCAATCCTACCATTATCTTCTAAGTGACTAGCTATCACATCCTTTATAACAAATTCTAACATTGTCTCCACTACTAGTGTCAGGTTTACAAGTCTGACCTTCCCTTTTTTTCTCCCTCCCTCTCTTCTGAAGTAGTGGGGTTATATTTGCTCCCTTCCAGTCTGTAAGAACTACTCCAGAATCTATAGAATTGTGGGAGATAACAGTTGCTCATTTTCAATTGTTCCTTGGTTTCCTCGTAATCCTGGAGGACTTCAGCATTTTCCAACATAAAGGCAAACAGAAAGCATTTGTATTGTTCATCTGCCATTTCCTTACTCCCCACTACTGATTCTTCTGCATCTGCCTGTAGAGGATCCACATTTATCCTTGCTCATATTTTTCTTTTTATACATCTGCAAAAACTTTCACAGTCCAATTTACAATTCCTTGTTACTTTACTTCTTTATTTTTTTCTCTTATTAAATTATTAGTCCTCCTTTGCTGAATTCTAAACGTTCCCATCCTCAAACTGACTACTTAGTTTGGAAATTTGATAAGCTTTCCATTAATATGATACAATCATTAACTTATTCTGTTAGCTATGCTTGCATCAGCTTTACTGCTAGATTTCTGTGCCTCAAAAGAATATTTTTAAGCTTTTATTTACTCTTTAAATGCAAACCATTACCTGTCTGTTATCATACCTTTTGATGTAATTTCCTAATCCATCAAAGATTATTCATCTCACACCTTCAAAGTTTCCTTTGTTTTGATTGGAAACTCTATTTTCAGATTAATCTACATCCTTTTCAAAAATACTACCAATTTCTATCCTATTATGATCACTCTTTCTTATAGGCTATTTTATAATTAGATTATTAACTATCCCCTTCTCAGTTAGTAATGCTAGATATTTAATAGTTGTTTCCTCAACACATTGTTCCAGAAAACCATCTCATATACATTCTAGCAGCTTGTCCTCCATGGCATTATTGCGAATTAGGTTTACCCAGTCACATTGAAGATCTCCATGATTGCTGCATTAATCTTATTGTACGGACCTCTAATTTCCTGATTTGTACTGTGCCTTATATTATCATGGCTGTTTAATGGCACAAACAACGCCTACCAATTATTGTTGTCCCATGCTGTTTCTTACCTGCACTCAAATTGAATCTACACCTTGATCTTCCTATTTAGGATGTTGTCCCACTGATGTAGTGATCACATCTATTGTTAACAGCTCAACCACACCTTCTTTCACTTTTTCCATTCAGTTCCTAATTTTGGTCATCGCACATCTGTGTCTTTTCACTGACAGTTTATCCACTCTATTGCAAACATCATCTAAATTCAAATAAAGGGCCATTAATTCTTCCTTTACATTATTTCCACCACTCCTAGCCTTATTGTCTGGTGCTCTGGAGTTTGAATGCTTTTTCCCTTCCTGCCCAGACTGTCAGTTCCCAATTGCTAACTTGCTCTCTTGCATTCTCTTTCTTTAACTTAATCACATCTACTCTCACTTTCTACCTCATCCCCACTGCATAGTTTAAAGCTCTCCCCACTGTCCTCATTTTACACATATGTGTCCCAGCATGGTTCAGGTGAAGACCCTCCAAAATGCACAGCTCCCACTTTTCCAGTGCTGGAAACAGTGCACTATGAATTGAAACCCAATTCTCACGCAATAATCTTTGAATCAAATTGTTAACTCATTAATTTCATTCACTCCAATGCAATTTGCTTTTGGCTCGTGTAATAATCCAGAGATTATTCCCTTTGAGGTTCCACTGAGGCAACCTTTCATTAATTATTGTTGATTGAAAAATATATCTGGGCAGTGTAGGCCACCCTTGAGTCTTGAAAAGCACAAACAAAGCAAAAATGGTTAAAATCTCCAATAGAATTTAGAACATTTTCTAGGAACTTGTTGCATGACAGTCTTGCAGCTACAACAAATTTTTCAGAGATTTTGTCTGACCTGGTATCTATTTTTTTCCAGTTGTACGAAGGGAAATGAGTGAGAGAGACATTATCTTCCTTATTGATGGATCAGACAATGTTGGAAACACCAATTTACCTTTTGTCAAGGACTTCATCACAAGAATAGTTCGGAACTTGGCCGTTGGAAGTGACCAGGTGCGAGTAGGTCTGGCACAGTACAGCGATGATACTGAAGCTGAATTCTATCTAAACACTTACTCTTCAGAAGCTGAACTTCTGTCTCATATCAGGACCCTCAGATTGCGAGGTGGGACAACTGCCAACACTGGTTCAGCATTGGATTTTGCCAGTAAATACTTTTTTACTAGCTCAGCAGGAAGTCGAATAAAAGAAAACATTCCTCAGTTTTTGGTGCTTGTTACTAGTGGAAGGTCCGATGATGATGTGGAAGCACCATCAGATGCATTGAAGCGAGCTGCAGTAATGACCTTCGCTGTTGGAGTCAAGCACACAGACCGAGCCCAGCTAGAAGAGATGGCAATTGATCCAAGTTTGATCTTCAGTGTCAATGATTTCCAGTCTCTGCCAGATTTACTGGATCAGATGATAATACCACTGACCACACTGGCAGTACCTACTGTTATTGAAGAACCAATAAGTATTGAAGAACAAGTGATTACAACAGAAGGTACACAAATCAAGTTTTATCTTTTTTTTTGCAGATATGATTGCATTACCACTAGAGTTACCAATAGTGAGAAAGATTGGAAAATTTCCAAAAAATGACATAAGGATCGCGACACGTAATGAATCTATGGAATGTTCTTTGTCATGCAGATGGGCTTTACGCTGCCTCTAAATTTAAATAAGATGAGTGTGTAGACCTGTGCTAAGCACGTTGCTCTGCAGGGTCTCTTGTTCATGTGAGATTAACACCGTGCATAGCTAGCATGTCCGACATAAAGCCGGCTTGTACCATTAAAGGGAAGCATAAATAGAAAATGTTGAAATAACCATTCCAGCAGCATCTGAAGAAGGAGACATGTTCAACCCAAAATGTTAACTCTGTTTCCCTTCTCACAGATTCTACCTGACCTGCTTTACTTTCTCCAGTGTTTCTGCTTTTCATTATTTTAGATTTCTGCCATCCACAGTATTTTGCTTTCTTCTTAAAGATGAAGCGCATCCTGGCTGCAACAGATGCTGGAAGTGACTGAGGAAGACTGTCTAACCTGCAGGGGAAGTGAAAACGCAGGACAGAGAGAGTGAGGATATGAAGCTTTGGCACAGGAGATGGGCAGGAAGAGAGACAAATCCTTTATCTGTACCTTGACCTCCAGCTAAGTCATAACAAATGCACCGGGAGGAGACAGCCACAACTGCCAATTCAAACAATGCACCTATATGCAATGTTTGAAGAAATTTAACGACCCCACGGATGTGGTCATGATCAATGAATGTCTCTTTAAATATATATCCTTACAAATAAACTATCCTTCTTTCGCACACTGCTTAATTCACCACTTCACCTTGACTTAACTAAAAATATTCTCTATGAACCACAGTTCATACACATTATTCATAGTCCCACCTTTTTTAATTCATTTACAGAATGCAGGCCTTGCTGGCTAGGCCAGAATTTGTTGACCATTTGTTGACTAATTGTCTTCGAGGAGTTGGTGGTAAGCTTCGAGGTGCAGGTATACCCCAGTGTTATTAAAGAGGGAGATCCAGATTTTTGACAAAGTGGCAATGAAGGACCGGTGATACATTTCCAAGTCGGGACGGTATTTGGCTTGGAGGGGACCTTCCAGGTGGGGATGTCCCCATACATCTGCTGCTTTTGTCACTCTAGATGATAGAAGTTGCAGATTTAGAAAATGCTGTTTGCTATCTCTGGTAGAAAGGATGCCCTTTTAGCATGACCCATAACACACGGTAGACCACAGTAATTTTTGACACATGCTTAGAGGACTGCAAAGCTGTTCCACAACTCTGTAGCCAGTAGAAATATTACTTGAGAATTCCGAAGGTCCGTTCAATGATATTTCATGCGGGAGCTTGACTCTCATTACGTACATGCTGGCCATATACTCATTAGGATGTACATCATTGTCATTGGCCAGGTAGCCAGCAGATAGCCCTTGTCACCCACAACCACAATCTGACTTGACCTGGTGTCTCCAATATGAAGGCGACAGAAAGTAGAGTAACAACATTGTGACTGCTGCCAGGACATTGGCCACTACCTGCATGGTGTGCTCAGCGCCAATTGCACACTCTGGGAGTGGAACCCTTTATGGTTATGATACATCTCTTCAGTTAGATGTGACATAAAGTAGTCAGGCATGTGTAGTTTAATGGAACCCTGGTCCATGCAGGAGCTGACTATTCTGCCAAAGCCACATGTACTCAGCCTATTCAGAGAGAACAACAATGTGCTCCACTCTCCTGGTGTAATACAAACAAACAATGTAAGGGAGATATGCGTGGAAAGTTCTTAATGCAGAGGGTGGTGGGTGCCTGCAATGCGTTGCCAGCGGAGGTGGTAGAGACGGGCACGATAGTGTCATTTAAGATGTATCTAGACAGATACATGAATGGGCAGGGGGCAGAGGGATACAGATCCTTGGAAAATAGGCGCCAGGTTTAGATAGAGGATCTGGATTGGTGCAGGCTTGGAGGGCCAAAGGGCCCGTTCCTGTGCTGTAATTTTCTTTGTTCTTTGTTCTTTGTATCCGCATCAGGTCAGAAAGATCCTGATTCACTGTTGCGATAATTTTTGGCGGCGCTGTTCTTGCTGTGCTCTGAACCTGTAGGTTTGCTTGTGTGAGGTGGCATAATTTACTGAGCACCCCCTCACTTAGATTGAGGTGAGAGAAAGTCTCAGCTGAAGACATTGGCGAGAAAAGGCCTGCTGCTAAGAAACCTTCTGCCCCTCCTTTTCCTCACTGGGCACCACGCCTTCTTCTGAAATATCTCTGCTCAATCCCCCTTTCATGTGCAGGCAGGGGGTGGTAACTACAGCACCCATGATTGCGAATAAGGAGTCAGTCCATGCACAAATCCTTGAAGTCTCAATTAAGGGCTTTCTCACATACATAGCCACTGCAGGTCAATTTCAGGAACTTTAAACAGCGTGAGAAAACTCATGACAGTTCTACAAAATTTGAAAATGCCAATGGAATTCAACCAGCAAATGATCTGAATGTGGTTGATGATCCCTTTAAACAGTAAGTGCTGGTTGGTGTGGAGTTCCTTTCTTGCTGGTGAGCACATATGGAGCTGTAGGAGGTGAAGAAAGGGAGCTGGAGCTGTAAGGACAAAAGTATCAAAACTGCTGTCAAAATAACCTTTGCATGTTTCCTGACATCACAATGTATCTATTCTGGACACTTCTAATGTCAGCACTAATGCCCTTACCAATATGGCACCTAGAACAGGCCATGCCAGATGTTTGCGCACACAATGTGACACCATTTTGGTCCGGCAAAAGCGCCCGTAGCATCAACATTATAAGGCGTTATGGAGCCATATTTTGTGGTCATATATTTAGAATAGATTTTTCTTCTCCCTTGTCATTGCCCAAAACAGTGATGAGAACAGTTAAAGAACTCTCGGTTGAATCCCAAGATGAAAGAAATGTGTTGAAGGAGATAAGCTGCAATGGCCTACAGCAGGGTTGGCACTTCACTGAGCTCTGAGGATGCACATGTATCAAAGATGGGCAAGCACTTTGGTTATGAATCTTGTGAATCCAAGTACTTGACCTAGCGTATATCTCCTCCAAAAAAAACTGTAAATTTTAATGTTCACATCAGATTCCTAATTACTTAGCTTACTCTATAGCTACTTAAATATTCATATAAATCTCTGCTCAATTTCTGCAGCCAGGAAGAGAGATATTGTCTTCCTAATTGATGGATCTCCTGGAATGGGAAGATCCTTCCCTCTAGTCCGTGATTTTGTTAAGAACGTAGTTCAGGAGCTTGATATTGGACCTGACAAAGACCAAGTTGCTGTGGTACAATACAGTTCTGACTCAAGAGTTGAATTTGGCCTCAAAACTTATTCCACCAACGATGAGCTAATGAATGCAATACATAAGCTGAGACTGAAAACAGGGAGACCCCTCAACACTGGTGCTGCACTGGACTATGTAACAAGGAATGTCTTCAGCCCATCCGCAGGGAGCAGAGGAGATGCTGGAGCTTCACAAATCCTGGTGCTCATCACTGCTGGGAAATCCAGCGATGATGTTGGACAGGCAGCAGATACAATGAAACAGGCTGGTATTGTGCCCATTGTTATTGGAGCCAAGAACGCAGACACAGCAGAGCTTCAAAAGATCGTATATGAGCCAAATTTTATTTTGAAACTGGGCGATTTTAAGGAATTACTAAGTATTCAAAAGGAGCTGGTATCTAAAGTTAAAACCGTCTTCATTATTGAGGAAATAACTACTGTTACTCCTGAAGGTAAGAAGCCTTTGACCGATTATGTTTAATCTGTGCCATTAATTTACACAACATCATCTAAATTTCAATTAAATAGAAGGTGAAAATGTGAAACCATAGATTCATAGAAACTTGAAACCCTGAATGAAGCCAAATATCCTGTGTGCCTGCATTAGCACATTGAAAGAACGAGCCACGCTTAGTCTCATTTTGTTTAGAATCCTCTGAGTTAAACTTCCTCAAATACCTTACCAGCTCATTTTTTGGAATCATTCATAAAATTAGTTTTCACCACCTATTCATGTACAATGGTTCCCATTTTGACAATTCTCAGTGAAATATAATCTCATCTCTCCTCTAGGTAATTTCTAATGATCTCATACTTAGGACTCCTGTTTCTGAGCCGCACACCATAGAGATTTTTTTTTTCTCTTACGATACTATTGAATATCTCATTTTGAAAACCTCCATTAGGTCAACTCTTAACCTTTTTTTTTAAGGAGAAACCTTCCAACTTTGTTGATATCTCCTCAACTGAAACATTGACTGTTTCTCTCCACAGAAGTATTAGTTGTTCTTATTATTATCCATATTAGCCCTCTTAAAGTGCACCATCTAAACCCTAGATACTAGCCAATACTTAAACTCAAGTTAAGGGATTCCATAATCTCCTGCTTTGTTGAAAATGGTATCTCTGAGCAAAAATGTTAAAACATTCTAATTCTAAGGCACTTTCTAAGATGAACATAAAAAGATTCAGTACAACTATTTCAAAGAAGTGCAAGGAAGTTATTGCTGGTGTCCAGGCCAATATTCAGATTTCAATCCAAATCATGAAAACAGGTTGATCATTATTCCATTTCTATTTATGGATGTTTCCTATGTGCAAATTGGCTGCTAGGTGTCCTTCTTTACATAAGCAGGCAGACTTCAAACAATACTTCATTTGCTACAAAACACTTTGGCAGGTCACAAGGATAAGAAAGGCACTTTATTGCTTTAACATTTCTTAACACTGGTTGGCGTCTATCATACTGTTGGCAATTTCACCACAAATTCTGTAACTGTCCTCATTATTATTCAGCCCAGTGCAAACTTTTGAATCATCTGAAAATGTCATAATTCTGCTCCCTACGCCCAAGTCTATGTTATGCTTAGTAATAAACCCAGAATGAGTCTCAGGAAACTACTCTGCAATCCACCTGTCAGCCTGTAAAAATTCAAACCTCTATGTTACATATGGGCAATGTGCTAAACCTTTATCCGTGCCCCCATCGTCTCCTTAATTTCATGGACTTTGAATTGAACAAATCACCCGAGTGACACTTGTTCAAATGCCTTTCGAATATGTAAACATAAAACATCTACGACATGGCCTTGATTAACATTCTCTGATACTTGTGACGATCGATGCAGAAAGCAGTAACTTGAAACAATGTGAATTTCTAGTTAATAGTTAAAAGAATGACATTTCAAGATACTCCATTTTAAAATTTCTTCTGTAAAAAAATGACTAAAATTGACACTAATTCAACCTCACTTTCTTTCTTTATACTTTAAATTACAGAAAGGAACATTCCCCCTTTATATATTTCATGCATCATTCTCTGGGGGGTTAGTTGGTTTAGCTGGATGGCTGGTGTGTATTGCAGAGTAACACCAACAATGTGGGTTCAATTCCTGGTTATAATGAAATTCTCTCCTTCTCAACACCCCCCCTCCAATCGCCTGAGGTGTGGTGACCCTTGTGTTAAATCACTATCAGTCGTCTGTCTCTCATGAAAGTGCAGCCCTATGGTGACTTCTTATCACTCTCTCCATAGATTTACGGTCTGCATTGCAAACAGTTCACGGTTTCTCCCAACTATCAGTGGGTTTGCTTGTGTTCTGAATTGTCTTTTCCAGTCATGCAGTGGAGGCTAAGTATTATAGAATATATACAAAGCTGAGTTAGACAGTCTTTTTATAAATTGCTAAATAGTTGAGGGTTATGGGAGCTGGCTGGAAAATGGAGTTAAAGTCACAATCAGATCAGCCTTGAACTTATTGAATGGCAGAGTACAGATGAGGAGCCAAATTAATTCTGCTCATATTTTTTATGGTTCCCTACTTCAGCGAATGATTGTCTTTAGGTGTTTCCCTTTGTTTTCAAAGAATTTCCTAAATTCACGAGTATGGTAAAGACCGTCCTGATGATTCTTCCCCTCTGACTGCAAGAGTATAAATCTCCTGGATTCCTTAAATGGCTGTGGGATGTGTCTCTTTGACTGGAGGCTATTGCCCTCCCACATCTGGCTGTGGTAGTCCACTAAGCCAAGCAGCAGCAACCTGCTAATAATTGTATTCAGTGAAATTCTAAGAAATCCTGAAACCTAATCTCAAAAATGGCTACCTCTGCGTTCATCCCTGTGTGAATCACATTAGATTTGTTTCTCAGTAGAAGTGCCAATTAACTAATCTTGATCCTAAAAACCTTAATCAGCTTTCTCAGAGTTTTGGAGAATCAGAGACTAACGTAGTGAACTCAACCATGAACTTCTTACAGCATTATCTAGCAACACTGTCTGAGCTTGTCTATGGTAATTAACTACCTGAATGAAGTATCCCTGCGATAGGGTTAGGGTTAGGGTTAGGGTTAGGGTTTTACCCTGAATTAAAAAGACATGTCCAGAATATCTTATCATTGTTATATACCCCTTAAGGATTCAATCAAACTAAAAATCCTGAATTATCTTTCGGGAATCCATATTGGATCCCTTTGACTAACCTATGCCATTCCAAATTAAAGTTAATTACATCTTTGAGAATGGTTTCTGTAACTTCCCAATCACCAACGTTAAGCTGATAGTAGCCCTTAGTTTCTGTTCTTTTTTTCCTGGCTCTTTCTTGAGTATTGGTTTAAAATTTGGAATTGTCAAATCCTCTGACATTATTCATTCACCAACAATCATTGAATATTTTTGGCCAATGGCTCTGCAATTTCCATATTATGCATCTTGCAGCAACTTAAAATATGTTCCATCTGGTCCATTGATTTACCAATTTTCAATAATGCTAACTCAGTCAGCAAAACTTCTCTCTATATAACTATCTTGGCCATAACTTTCCTTTCCACTTTTAGTGTTAACTTTACATCATCCAACTCCTTTCTGTAGATGGATGCAAAAAGCTTACTTAATACTTTTGTCATACCCTCAGATCTGAAATATCATACGTTTGTCTGGAAAAATGCTTTAATTTGCTTATTCATACAAATGTTGTCAGCTAAGGTCATCAGCTTGTCATCAATCTGGTTTCAAATATCAATTCAGACAAAGGCGGTCAAAGTCTAATCTTTGCTGAATGATCTTAGGTTAAATGTATTATCCTGCTTAGACAGGCCGCAAAGATTTTATTTTGTGAGAATTGAAACAGTTACAATGATGCTATGAAGGTAATATTACGACTCTATTTTGATACCAAAGTTGCTGGACTGAAAATGCACTAACCTCGTATAACATGAATGTGCTGATCTGAGAAGGGTTTATTTAAGATTGGAAATAAATCAACATTTCTCCCATGTCACCGGTATGCTTTGAGCTGCAGGGTCAGAGGCCAATTGAAAAACATTTGAGGCAGCCTTTTAAATGAAAGTCCACACACGTTTCCTTGATCCACTACTTTTCCCTCCTGGATTGACTGCTCTGGATCTAATTTTGTTGATTTATTTCAGCTTTCTTTTTACAAATGAGAAATGATATCGACAAATAGACATTGTTAAATTTCCTATAGATTGTGGATGACAAAGAATGGAACAAAGATGATGATAATGTGATTGGTGTGGGCTTCCAAAAGCTTTTGACGTAATTGGCTGTCAGCTCAATAAAAAGACAGGAGCAGTATAGATACAAAAGTGGTCTGAGTGACAGAGATACAGTGGCGATGCATGGTTGTTTTATTTTTCCAAGCTGGAGGAACATATGCAATGGCATTCCCAATAGGGTTCGTACTCGATGTTAACAATATTTAAATTTGAAATCAAGTCCCAACGGGCATTGCCTGTCTCGTCATAGCCATTGAAGACAAATGCTGCTTTTCATCTTATTTATTCATGACTTTGGCTTGGATGTACAGGTTACAGTTTCAAAACTTGCGGATGGCAAAACTTGAAATAATTGAGAGCTGTGGAGAGGTAATGATTGACTTCTAGACTTTAAGAGCTTCGTGGAATGAGCAGACATGTGGCAAATGTAACTTAACATACAGGTGAAATGCTGGAAAGACTGTTTAGGCCCTTGGATGTGAGCAGGGAAGAGGTGAAGGGGCAATGTTGCACCTTCTGTGGTTAGAGATGGGGTTGTTCTTCTGTTGGATAAAAATAAAGTTGAGAAAAGATTTGACTGAGGTGTTAAAATTATGAGAGTTCCAGTTAATAGAGAGGGAGAAATTTTCCACAGAATGTTTGACAACAAGAAGTCTCAGGTTTCAAGAACCAAAGATGATCTGAGGAAAATGTTTTGTGTAGCATGTGGTTGGGACCCAGATGCAATATTTGAGAGTGATAGAGGCAAATTCAATATGATTTTTTAAATAAAATTGAATGGCTGTCAGAAGGAAGGTAAAAACAATACTCCAGCATCTGCAGTTCTTGCTATCTCTGATTATAGGGAAAGGATTGGGGAATGCATCTGGCAAAACTGCTCTTAAGGGGAACCTGCATACTTGATGGGACAAATTGTCTCCTTCTATGTGTGAGCATTCCATGATTCTATGGTTTCATTTATTGTCACCCTGTCTGTTGTACAATTCTTTATTTATTGAATTAGTGGCACCTGATGTGATATGTATCTATCACAACAAGAACAAAACATTCAACTCATTGTATATAATGGCTATCAGTTCTTACATGCTGCTAATTGTACTTATATTCTTTTGCAGTTTCACCTGAGGAAATGAACAAGAGAGATATTGTGTTCCTTATAGATGGATCAGAGAATGTTGGAAACACAAATTTACCTCTTGTGCATGATTTCATCAGAAATATAGTTGAGAATCTCAATATTGGAAGTGACCGAGTGAGAGTGGGTCTGGCACAGTTCAGTCACAATGCAGAAACGGAATTCTATCTTAACACCTACTCGTCAAAAGCTGACATTCTGCGCCATGTCAAAGGACTCCAATTGAAAGGTGGCACAATGCTTAATATTGGCACAGCACTGGACTTTGTCTTCAGGAACCACTTTACTGATCATGCAGGAAGCAGAAAAGAGCAAGGAGTTCCTCAGTTTCTGGTGTTGTTCACTGGCGGTAGATCAACGGATGCTGTTAAACCGTACGCAGATAAACTAAAGCGAGCTGCCATAACAACCTTTGCTGTCGCAATAAGAAATGCAGATGAAGCACAGCTACAAGAAATTGCAACTGACCCCAGTTTAGTTTTTAGTGTAAAGGAATTCCAAAATCTACCCCATGTACAGGAAAGGTTGATGACACCATTGTCAACACTAACTGCTCCAACTGTAACAATTAAAGAGTCAATTGTAATTGCTGGCGAATCAATGATTACAAGTGAAGAAGGTACACAAACTGGGTTTTGTGATTTACTTATCAGTGCATTTCTCTAATCCATAGGGTGTTTAATCTGCCATAAAGAAGATTATACGAGATTAGTTGGACATTTATGGGCATCCATAAATCCTGAAACATCAAGAGTAATCTCTTATAGGCAGGCCACCATATCTCACAGAGTGGCAGCGCAGCACTCATCTGTATCCTCCTAACACACGCTTGTGTTTTTCCTGGTGTAATGTTGTCTGCCTTGTTGTCTATAAATCACTTTATTTCCCTTTAACAATCACTATTTTAGCTCACTTCTGTCTCTCAATGAATTTTTAATCCTGGGAAGCAACTTTTCCATTTAAGGCTGTCAATTTCAAGCTTCCTTGGTTGAGCAGGAAATGGTAACAGAAGAAACCAAGGACTGTTGGTACTGTTATCCATCATGAATAATCATTGCCTATTGCAGAGCAAAATTGTTACTTGAATTTGCTGAATAACAGGAAACTTCTCTTGGGCGTTGTTAGGCTCTTTTCTTTCCAATTCCATTGCTTTGTGAACATGTCGATAGGGATGTCAAGGGTAGTGCCCATCTGCTGTTTGGCCTGCTGTGTTGCATTACAGAAATGCTGATTTGATGTGTCAATGCTTTGACATGCACATGTGATTATGGATTGCACACCAGGATCATCATGAGTGTTGTCAACTCCACTGTCACTTATTACTCACATTTTTGCTTTGTCTTGGTGGCTCAAACAGGGCTGGCGCTGAAGACTTCATGGCTGCAGTCAGAATACTAAGGCATTGACCTACATAATTCACTGAGCATGCTCAGAAATCAGTTGGAGATTGAGGAAATGGAATGACTTCCAATTTTGGTTCAGGATAGAGTTAATAGATAGCGCCCACAGAGAAATATGCATATAGTGAGTGGGGAGATCGGCATTCCTCGTGAAACATTGTGCATTCTCTGCTGATAGGAGAGAATAGAATATAGTTGGTTGTCTTCAAGAAGAGAGAAGCTCAATGACCTCTCTTACACAACAGTGGATGACTAACTACAAATGATAATGTGCGTATCTTCAGTTCCAAACTGCAGGGCACATAAACGTTTATTGCCACAGTTTATTGCAACTGCAGTTGCAATTGTTGCTGCAGAATGTAGCAGATTTCAGTGAAGACATCCTTACTGGAGTACAGGTGTCACAAATATTGTTAGTCTGAGAGGTTCATAAAGGCAAATTAATCTGTCAACATCCATGGCTGGAGGCGGCATACAGCTGAGAACCCTTCTCGTCTTACTGCTTCTCCCTTTTCCAGCAGAGTGTCATACTCTGATGGCCTCTTTTGATTCTCTCAATTATAATGAATTTCAAGGGGACTACTTATTAGTGAAGCCAGATGTGGTTTGTTAATAAGTCTTAGAGTCAGTAGATAAACCTTAAGTAAAAGCCAAAAGAAATGTGGATGCTTTAAATCAGAAACAAAAACAGAAATTGATGGAAAAGCAAAGCAGGTCTGGCAGTGAAGAGAAATCAGAGTTAACGTTTCGCCTCTAGTGACTCTTCCTCAGAACTGATGGTAACTAGGAAAATGTCGATTTATATGCAGAAGGCTTGAGCTCTCCACTGTCCTTACCACAACCCCCACACACCAAGTCTTGTTATCACATAGTCTGGTATTACACATAACCCATTGTTAGCCACTGACAGTCCCCATTAGTAGCTACTTACCCTGTTAGCCAGATTGTTATCCACTCCTTTTTCTGTCCAACTGTTCTCTCTCTTTGGGCTCTATCCCCACCAATCATTTACTCCTTACTTCTTCCCCCCACCCTATCTTCTGCATATAAATGATACTTTCCTAGCTACCATCAGTTCTGAAGAAAGGTCGCTCAATCTGAAACGTTAAATCGGATTTTTCTCCACTGATGCTGCCAGACCTGCTGATCTTTTAAAGCAATTTCTGTTTTTGTTTCTAAATAAACCTCAAGTGCCTGCTGCCCAGGTCAAGTCTGTGCAAACATTTGCAATTAGAAAACACTAAACGTGTGTAGGACTTGTGAAGATGCATGAAGGTGGCTCACCGTCATCGCCTTCTCCAGGACAATCAGGAATGAGCAATAAATGCTGCACCAGCTAGTATCACCCAAATTCTATGAATGAGTAACAAAAAATATTATAGCAACAGGCAGAATGAAATAGTAACTAAACAGTAATTAACAGTAAGTATTATTTAAGCTCCTTAAATAATTCAGCAGCTCGATTTTGGGTCAAAGATCAGATTGTTGTGGTACGCTATCATTTCAATTCAACAACTGAATTTGGTTTCAGTATATTCTTAACAGAAGATGAGATTTTGAACAATTTTTTAAACAAAGTTACAAGTAAAAACAAAGAGATCCCAAAACACTGTTAGTGCATGGAACTATATTATGAACAAACTGGACTCAAACGTAGTGTCGTTAATTTTGCTGTCATCATTGCTGGGAAATCAGTGAATGATGTTGAGATAACAAGGCGTAGAGCTGGATGAACACAGCAGGCCAGGCAGCATCAGAGGAGCAGGAAAGCTGATGTTTCGGCTCTGGACCCTTGATGTTTGGAGATTAACTGATACAATGAATCATGATATAATGACCATTGTTGTTGGTGCCAAAAAAGGTGTAACGACATCAAAGTCACAACAGATTCCACATGTTTCTAAATTTATTTCAACACTGAAAGACTTCCACAAATTGCTAATTACAATTATCCGTAATTAAATGATTGAACAGGGAATTATTTGAAAATGTACATATCCCATTTCACTGTACACTCTAATAATCAGTTCCTGAGTCTAAATATATCCCCCCAGAAATTTCATCCAAACATATAGAATATCATTATATTAGGTACTTGCTACTGTACATGGAATTGTAGTTTAAATTTGAGAAGAAAATTTAGAACATTGGTAACCTCTCTAACTGGTAATTGCATAATAAAGGTTTAGAGGCTAAGAGCTGGTTTATTCTTCTCTAAGTTATGTGTAAATTCAATATGATGGTGAAATGGTAAGAAATAGCAACTAACATGCTAATTAAATAACTATTGGGGTAGAAAGAGAAATGTCTTGAATTTTAGCAACCACAAAACCAACTTCCATGCTCTGTAACCTTGAGCTAATCCATCATCCTGAGCTCACTACAATGTTCACTTTAAAATTCTAATTTCGCTGTTGAAATCCCTTTATAGCTTCATACCTCCATACATGTGTAAACTTCTCCAGATCTACCATCCTCTGAGAGCCCTGTACTTCTCTAACTCTGACCTTATGCATTCAGTACTTCCTTTGTTGCTCTATTTTTAGCCTCGCCTTCTGGAATTGAGACAGAACCTCTGGAATTTCCTCCCTAGACCTCTCCACCTCTCATTGAACTTTTAAAAAGGACCTTGTTTAAAATATTTCTGGTCTGACTGTGCTCTGGTGAAGTGCTTTGGGATGTTTTGTTGTGCTAAAGATGTTATGTTAGCATAATACCTTTTGCTGTATTATATAAATTATGATTTTCTGCTCTTTCCTTATATTTCTATTTAGCTCCTGCAGCAAGGCAAAGAGATATTGTCTTCCTTATTGATGGCACGCTTGGAATGGGTAAAGCATTCCCTCTAGTTCGTGCATTTCTGGTTAAAGTAATCCAGGAACTTGATATTGGCCCTGACAAAGATCAAGTTGCTATGGTGCAATATAGTCATGACTCAAAAACTGAATTTGGACTTAATACTTATGCAAGTAAAGATGAGGTTTTGGCTGCAGCAGCACAGCTCAGACGGAAAACAGGAAGAGTCCTCAACACTGGTGCAGCACTGAACTATGTTACAAGAAATGTCTTTACCGCATCTGCTGGGAGCAGACAAGATATGGGAGCTACACAGATTCTGGTGCTAATCACTGCTGGAAAGTCCAGGGATGATGTTGGACAGGCAGCACATGCAGTAAAGCAAGCTGGTATTGTGCCCATTGTTATCGGAGCCAAGGCTGTCCATCCTGCAGAGCTACAACAGCTAGTGTATTCTCCTGATTTCATTTTTATACAAAAAACCTTTCAGACTGTACCACAAATCCAACAGCAGTTGACATCGATATTGAAATCAGTTTCTCTTGAATCACTTGACGGTAAGGATCATTTAGCAATGCCTTAACAATTTGCTGATAGAAACAGAAAAGAATTTTCAAAGTATCGAATAAGCAAGGATGTATGTTTAAAACTGACGGAAAAGGCAGAATCGAGTACACAGTGCATTGTAAAATCATTCCTAAGTCATAGCACAAATGATGAGAATGTAATAGTTTGCGGGTACAAATTGGACATTCTTGAGTTGTACAATAATTATCATTAAAAAATCTAGGCCAAGATCCGTAAGTACACGTCAGCAACAAAAGTGGAACATACTAACATACAAACTTATGAATTAGGAGCATCATTAGGCCATTCTGCTTCTCCAGCCTGATCCACCATTCAATAATATCATGATGTGGAGGTGCCGGTGTTGGACTGGGGTGGATAAGGTCAGAAATCACATGACACCAGGTTATAGTCCAACAGGTTTAGTAGAAAACACAAGCTGTCGGAGCATCACTCCTAACACCTGAAGGAGGAGTGTTGGGCTATAACTTGGTGTCGTGTGATTTCTGACTTTGTGCAATAATGTCGTGGCTGATTTGATTGTAGTCTCAATTACAATTTTCTCCACACCTCCAATAACGTATACACAAGGAAAACAATTAGAGAATGGAGAAGGAAAGAAGTCAAAGCAAATAGCACAAAAATCTTCGCTTAACAGCATTAGTTGGTTACCAGAAAAAAAAAATGTCAAACATAGATGAGATATTATAAGCAGGGTTACATTCCTGGGGGAAGACTTTTAGAATATACATTTTTAAATATTTTCATGAGATGTTGATGGCACTGACAATGCCACTATTTGCTTGCCCGTCCCTAACTTCTCACGAACAGAGTAGCTTGCTGTACTATTTCAAAGGACAGTCAAGAGTCACCTAAAATACATGGATCTGGTTTCACATGTAAGTCCTGCCTTAATAAAGGGCATCAGTGTCCCAGATGGGTTTTTCAAATAGTGATTTCATGGCTGCCATTACTGACACTGGCTTTTACTTCCAGATTTAATTAATTGAATTTAAATTCCACAATCTGCCATGGTAGGATTTAAGCCCACGTAATCAGAGCTTTAAAGCATTAGAATTAGGAGCGGGAGTAGACCATTCAGCCCTTCAAGCCTGCTGTGTCGTTTAATATGATCATGGCAGATCTCATTCCGGCCTCAACTCTACATTTCTGCCAGCTCCCCATTACCCTTCATTGCATTACTAATTAAAAATCTATCTCCTCCATAAATTTATTCAATGCCTTAGAATCCACCACATCTGGAGCAGTGAATTCCACAGATTCACAACCCTTTAAGAGAATTAATTCCTCCTCATGTCTGTTTTAAATATGTCACCCATCAGTCTAAAATCAGAATCTCTCGTCAAAATTGACCCACAAGGGGGAAACAATCACATCACATCTACTTTGTCAATCCCCTTTAGAGTCTTATATAATGATGATCCCCTTTAGTATCCTATATAACCTGAGCCTTATATGCTCATTAGACTGGGCTTTTGGGTTACTGGTCCACTTATATCACCTTGCCACCATTGGCCTCATAATTTCCATACATATTCTGCTTGTCAATCTTTTCTCCTGGCCTTGCTTATGAGAGTTGTGCCCTGGGCTTCCATTAGATTTGTCCATGCTTATACACAATGTACTGCAACTGTTTGCCTCCTGCAGTAGGCCAATCTGGTTGATCAGCAGTCTCTCCTACTATTCTCACCTGCCATCGGACATGATGGAAGGATTTACAGGCTAATAATAAACCTGTCCGACCACTCCAGGAACCTACCTTCCATGACCAACAAGTCCTGGCATGGGATTCAGATCCAGATCTTTTGGCGCAGAAATAGGTTTGCTATCGCCATGCCCACAAGTCCACATTTAGATTTTAAAATTAAGGGAACTTAGAAAATATCAATAATAAATTGATCCTAATGTGGGAAATTTAGGAATTTACGAAGCCTCACATACAGATGAGAGGTTGTAGAGGTGGGTTCACTGGAAGTTGAAAAGAACTTTTGGAGGGCTACTGGAAAGTTTTCTACGAGGAGAGCTTAAAGACACTTTGCAGCATCCTTTGAAGGGTTCTTTGCAGTAGACATTGAAACTAATCTTTCCAGCAGCCATTTCTTCTTACTTTCTCTCCGTAGAACTCCCTATAATAATTGACTGCATTGTTGGCCCTTCTGTTCACTCTTGAACTGTTCTCTTTGCTCGGATCTTCATCATAGAGGATGGCTATTGCGTCTTCAAGCTTTTTCATGGCATCATCATGTGGCCATCAGTTGAAAGTGTTAGCTGGCTGGTTGTTCACCTTACTCCTCGTCATCTCTCTCCCCTACAACCTTCTGTTCTATTTATTTTAGTCCCTTGGTAGACAAATCTCTGCAAAGGAGACACACAATTCTGTAACATCCTTGGTATTTAATTCATCCAATTTACTTGCCCATTCCTACACTCACCTCATGGATTTTCTCAATATGTTCCAGAGTGCCATCAACTCTAACACAGCCTGACCACAACTTCTATCACACACCATTTGTGGTGGGTGAGGTAACCTCATAGAGATGATTAATTATCTTAAGAATCTTATATTTGTTCAAAACTCCTTTTGGGTAGGAGCATGATCACCTTAAGTTTCCCCGATGGCCTGTCCAAAAATTCTTCTTTGATAATGGACCTTGCAATTCGTCCTTGATCCATAGGATAAAAAAAACAAAGAGGAAGGTGCTAGGGTAGATCACCTTGTCATTTTCACTGATGTCATTCAAGAGCCATAGAATGACCAAGGAGCATTGTCCAGGTGAGTCAAAGATTTTTTTGATGAGATTATTAACTAAAATAAAAATCCTTGACAATAATCGGTAAGCAAATTTAGGATATAAACCAATTTCAAAATTGTTTGGTTTACCCACAACTTGTTGTTTGCCCTTCACACGATAACTTAATCCTCAAATTGCCCTTCACTGCCCTGAATGAGAGACAAGCATTGGCTTCAGTGTAAAATCATCTGCTGCACTGCCAACAAGCAGGAATGTTAGACCTTCTACTTTGAAGATGATGGATTATACCAGTACGAATGTCATTTCTCGATTGAACATCATCTGTTGTGGCTGTAGAAGCCAAATTAAGTGGTGATCCCTTCCACAGCACGCTCAGATGAATAGCATTGACCCGAAATTGCCTGATATTTTCCTGTTCGGCTGCGTTTTCCTTTTGCTATCTGGTCATTTGCTGTATCTTCTGCTATATCTACGTGTTTCCTGACTGATGAGTCCAATCAGCCATAAAGACTTTCCATTCATCGACTCCAAACCTTTGTTGCTTTGATGCCTCGCATACTCTCTTGATTAGATCGTTGCAAAAGGAAGACTAGACTTCTGAATGCAACAGGAAGAAACCAATTACAGTAACAATTCCATGTTACTGAAAGAGAGTCAATCAAATTAGGAGATACAACATCAGGTTTTCATTTCAACACATTGAGAATATAAGAAGACTTGCATTTACACAATAATTTTTGTGACCAGCAGAAGCCTCAAAATGCTTTACAGCCAATGAACTACTTTTTAAAGTGTGATCATGACAGCTATTGCATTCATTAAACTCCCACAATCAAAATTGTAGCAATGATCAGATAAGCTGCTGCGTGCAATTGACTGAGGGATAAACATCAGTCAGATCTTTGTGGGGTAATGTTCTTGCTTCGCTTTGAGATAATGCCCTCTAACATTCACCGAGCAGGTAGATGGGGTTGAGGTTTGAATATTTCATCTGTAAAACTGCATTTCCTAAGAACCTTATGATTCAGAAGCAATTGGACCACCAAATGGGCCATGACTGACACAGTTACAGAAAGGGATTCTACGTTAGAAAACAAGAATAAAAACCTAATAGTAATTACTTCTAAATTTGTGCAGGTACAACACCAGAATGAACCCTGTGTTTTAGCCTTTATCTTGCAACCACATGTTATGTGACGCAAGATCATCCTGTCAATGTCAATAATTATTGCAAACAGCTGGTTTTCCAGCTGGTGTTCTTCTAAAAGAAAAGTCACATAAAACTCAGTGAATGTATATTTATGTCTAGAAATTGATTTGTGACTTGAACCACATGGATTCAATACTGAAATCTGCAACATAACAGTTATTTTGAAAGTGTTCATTGAACGTACTCATTTCATGTTGTATAATGTAGCCTGTCTCAAACACATTTGTAATATTTCGAAACCATCATATATCTCAAAATACAATGAGTTTTAGATGCTGTAATGGGTCAGCTGGTTTTAGAGATTAGAACTGCATAATGTCAGATATGAAAACATTTGTAATTAATTCACTAATTTCAGTTAGGACATATCTGTAATACAGGTACAACAGTGATTATGTTTACCACTGAGTAATTCAATGCCCTCAAAGGTTAGTTAAGGAACTTATTCTGGATCGCTACTTATGTTCTACTTAGACTGCTGATCTGACCAAGTACGCTCTTATGCTTCAAGTTGCAAAACTTTGGCACTACAACTGTGCCCTGATACAAGCCAAGTTTATTTCAAGAGGGAATGAGATTGATATTTCATTGAAATCGGATGGGAGGTTGGTGAAGAAAGCCTGATCTTTGGAACCAGACAATTGGACCACACACACACATACACACACACACATGCAGTTGTGCTGGCGTGCACACACACATGCTTACAAACACGCACACACACGCACACACACACACGCGTGCGCGCGCACACACACACACACACACACATGCAGTTGTGCTGGCGTGCACACACACATGCTTACAAACACACACACACACACACACTCACATATATCCCTTTTGTCTGGGCTGAATTGATACACAAACTAGAATAACTAAACCCTGCTGATGATACTAAACACAAACTAATCTGAAAGTGTAATACAACTGACTCCTAATAAAAGACAAAGAACAGGACAAACCCTTCAAATAACTATTCTTTCAATGAAAAGTAGTGTGTCTC